ATGACTCGTCGGAAGGGAAGATTTTCGTCTTCCTTGGTGGTGAAGCTCACCCCGTTGCTATGCATCGTTAGAGCTCTCTGAGTGTGAGTCAAGCCCCGCCACGGTGGTCTAGTGGCTAAGGTACTCAGCTGCTGACCCACAGGTCGCGGGTTCAAATCCCGGCTGTGGCGGCTGCATTTCCGATGGAGGCGGAAATGTTGTAGGCTCGTGTGCTCAGATTTGGGTGCACGTTAAAGAACCCCAGGTGGTCAAAATTTCTGGAGCCCTTCACTACGGCGTCTCTCATAATCAAATAGTGGTTTTGGGACGTTAAACCCCACAAATCAATCATGAGTGTGCGTCAATGTGCGGTACGACTGCTATACAGCCAGAGACTGAAGCCTGTATTCAAAAACGCTCCCCGGCTTGACCCTGCACGTCGAATCTGTGTAGATGAGAAAAACGCTTCTCCTCAACTGGAGGATAGAATGTCTCTCACCGTTTTCTCTGACCATGAGTGCTTCACGAAGGTTTCCTCCATGCGTCCGTGCGTGCTTCCATCTAGTAAACACTCCAAGTACCGCCATCTCCCAGATCGCAACCCCTGTGGCACATACCCGCTCTAGAGCGAATATGTGTCACCGATGGTTATGTACAACATTGGAGGATGTACAGGCCCACGCCTTAAGGAGCTTTGCTTCTAAAAGAAAGCCAGAGCTGCAGCTCAATGACAGCTGGCGTTTTGTTCACCGCCGTCAACCGCACACAAAATGCATGCACAACCATGCCTCTTTCACCCATTAGACTTATGCGAACAAAACAAGTGTCTCTTTAAGGCCAATTGTCTAGTGTTTTTAGAAACCTTGTGTTATTTTGTTTACTTCTGGCCCCTTGCAGCTTCCACCGTGAGCTGATGAGATTTTGATGGCTTGCGCACTAAGACTTTTTTTTGGCACATTCACTTGGAGATCGAGGTGAGAGCACGTGGCCTTAGAAAACCCGAGTTGGCGAGGTCCCAGAAAGAGCAACAGAAAGAACGAAAGCGTTCATTGTTTTGTTGTAGCACAAACCATCGTGACCTTCTTTCTATTGTCTGTACTGGAACAAACTGCGAGAAAAGAACGAGTTCGCATTACAAATGTGGTAATAACACGGCTACCTATGTGCGTTCAAATACAGTGCTAGGTTACACTTCAGCCCCTCTCAACGCGACATAAAAAATACACCTATAATAATGTAATACGGATGTTTGTGTTAAAAGTACTTTCAAAATACTCTTAACACGCCTTTATTTTTACAATTAGGGTTTTTGTAAGTAAAACACCTTTGCAACACCACACTTACACCCTTACCTTAGGAATGTTATGAACAAGGCTACAAATGAACATTTTTAGAAGGATTTGCTTATATTTAAAAATACATGAACAGTGCTTATCCCTGCAAGGCCTCTAGTACTGGGTGCTTTTGGTTTTAGTAATGAATCGAAGCAGGAAGTAAAACGATGGCACCGAAACGCGGTGTTCATTGATAATGCGCACAAACTACAAAGACGGAAGACCGAACGGGAGTGCCGTTTATCCGATAGGGTAAGGGTGAGTTCAATTGTATGCGTGTCTCTCAAGTATGTCCTTTTTCTGACTTGTGTACACGCACAAAGTGCACTACTTTTTGCTTAAGCAAGGTGTTATGTGCATGGCTGTAGCCATGAGACCTCTCCCCCCCCCCCCCCCCCCCCCTATAAGATAGAAGCTCATAAAGGTGGAGGTAATAGATCCGGTGCCTCGAAAAGCCCTCCGCGTAGTTCACTGGCAATAAACTCCACGGTACACGCGTCAACGGGACATCAGATCACTTAGAAAAAAAAGGGTACTTACGGGATGTATATCAGGCCAGTAAAGTTCTATTTATTACTGTTTTGATTATTATTGTGTCCTCTGATATGATTGTAGGCGACAAGATAAATAAGATCCGTGCAAGTTTAGAACATCTGGTATTCTTGGACATGTAGCTAAATCCGAGTACACATGCATCTACTTTGTCCGCAACCATGGAAAGTGCAGCCTCCAAGGCCAGAATTCAGGTCAACAATGTAGCACCATATCTCCTGTACCACCGTGCGGATACACACGCTCTGGAACTGCTGGTAACAACCGTTGGCAATTCGAGTGACCAGCAATGAAGGAGGCAGTGAAATTGGTCACACAATATCGAAGAAGACGTGTAACCAATTAGATGCTTCCTAATATGAAATTCTGATCGCAGAAAAGGAATGATGACTTTTTGATGGTATCAAAACAATCTGCGCCTGTCTCTGCTTGAGCCAATAATGAATTTTCCATGACTACTACAAGCAGAGGCACGTTCTGCATGGGACACCCCCCCCCCCCCCCCACATTCCGCTGAGAGAGGTAGGGGTGAGTGGTGCTCAGGACCGAGAACCTGGCACGACAACTTGCCATTATAGAGAACCACTTCGAGGATGGTGGTGATGATATTTTGCATAAACACGGTATGAAAGAACTCTAAACGTTAGCCAAATCCCAAAGCAGCTTCTGAGTTGATCATTCATTCATTCGTGCATTTGTTCATCGACTGTCTAATGCTTATTTGGATTGATCTTGCCCCTTGCTTTGCGAGGAAATTGATTGAGACCTTTCAAAGGCGTGATTCATTTTTTTCCTTATCTCGTGGTCACTTACCTAAAGATTTTATTAGAAACGCAATTTTTATTTGATATTGTACTTTTTTAGTGTGTAGCTTACTATGAACTTATCTGAATAGCCAGCTCTGCTCAGAAAAGTAATCAGATCAAGCAAAGAGGCTTTTAAGACAACTTAGGCCGAGTGTTCTGTTCATAATTTTTTTTGATAAACAGTATACATAGCTCTAAACATGAGTGGACTGCAATTCATACAAGGAGCCTGTATTTTAACCAGGTCTCTCTAGAACGCCTACACATTCAGGTTGAAAAAATGTGAGGAATGTAAGGGTGGTTAACACGTTACTAATAATCGCCTTGCTATTTTGCGCAAAGGTTGAGAAATAGCGGTCGAAAGGAGGAGAGACAGAAGGATAAAACAGAAATGAAAAAAAAATCACGCACACACAAAAGCAAAGTGTTCTAGCAGACAGCCACTCCGACAAATAATATGCACAAACAAATGTAGCGCTTTCACAGCCTTCTTCGCTTTTTTTAAGGATGCCGTTCATAGCACTAGACTCTTGCTCTTAAAATATATCGGTCGTCCAACTAAGCAAGCGCGTTGCAAAGCGACTGTCTCTGTGGATTGTACTGGGGGCAGTCGCCATCTGGTAAGGGCGCGCAAAGCTTTACGTAATCCTTGGTATTTCTCAAGTATGAGCGTAACAGGAATCGTTGATATGGCCATGTGGAAGCGTCTAAAATCCAGACAAGATTGAGCTTCGTTCACGTCACTGATGTGGTTTTCATGGTCTTCTCAATACGATACGTGAGACAAGGTGTGAATACACAGACGAGTGCTAGGGTAGTTGAGGTGTCAACAGTCAAAACGGGCCAAAATACTAAATATATAGCTCATAAACGTGAGAATATTGGCTACCTCAAGCTCTACTGCTAAAGGCATTGAGAATGCGATAAAATAAACGAAGCAAATGAACACGAACACGGACTTTTTTCTCCGTTCATTTTTATGGCACTGTTAGTGTCTTATGCAGATGAGCAACACATAGCCCTAACATCGACGAGAACAAGTCAATAAGTCACAACACGAAGCATTGATGCAAGGAACCCACCATTTGATCCTGAAAAATACACCAGGACATTGGGTTTCAAAACCACTGTATGATCGTGAGATACCGCAGTGGATACCTGCAGAATATTTGCAAAAACATGTGGCTTCTAGAACCCAGCGCATTGGTGCTTCAGCACTTCTTGTTCATTTAAATGGTGTCATATTCGGGAATCGAAACACCCATCATGAATACTAGCAGCGTTAACCCTGACCACTAAGCCGACTCTGCGGATAATTTACGCAATGATATCTCGATAGCCAAAAAAAAGACCTTTTTTTTTAACATGCACGTTGTGGTTATAATTAAAGCCATGTAATAACGTTTCAGCACCTCGCCTACAATTACGTGGTCCTCAACGTAACAATGGTTTTTCGTGAATAACTGGATGGCCAAGATCACCCTCGTTCTGGCTAGAAATATATTGTGGGAGACAGATTACGTACCACGCCAACGGGCATTCTTTCATGGGATTACGGAGGCCACAACTTATTACGTTGCTAGCGCCACCAAATGACGTCCATTACGCCTTCCATTATGTGGGTCTCCATTTGCGCTAGGCCATTATGGTTGCTGATATACAAGAGAAGAATATGTGTGCTCAGTCTCCATGCCGTTATCCGTGAATAATGAACTTCGAATCAACGACCATAATTGGACCATAGCTCATTTTCTGGCTCACTTCCCCAATCTTTGTAGAGCCTGTTTTTTTGTAAGCCTTATAAATGCCATATGTGCGCGTATTCCCCGAAACATTTTGAACCGGGTCTACTTTCGATGTTAGCGCTATGAAGACACTACATCAAGCTGGCGCCGCAGCAGTGGATTTTGAGATATGGGATGTCTATGGGTGCCGCTATATCTATTACTAGAGAAATGACTGCTCTTGTAAAGGAATGCAACCGCAAGAGGCTTCTAGCAATGAAAGCCAAAAGGCTGTTGAATATGGATTTTTCAAGAGAGTATATTCACTGTATCTGCTACCAAGGTTGTAAGTACACTAAACGCACTCTTCCTATGTTCAGTGCATTTGTATCTGTAATAACGTGAGCAGCAGACAGCATACCAAGAAGCAACTGATAAGTTTATTAGAAGACGCACCATATATAGGCGCAGAACCACGTGATCGGTCGCACAGGAATGCGCGCACTGGGTGCGCAGTGATAAGTGACGTCACGCTACAACACTCCTTCCCCTTCAGATTACTTCCGAAAGTCACTGGACTGGTATCTGTTCGGGGCATGTCGTACACGTGCACTACGACGCAGAGTTGGAAGTTCGGCTGCAGGTGGCGCGTCGTCGGCACTGGGCTGGTCCGGCGAGCCGGAGGCAGCTGCTCCGGCCGTGGGCGATGCAGTTGCCGGAAGGAGAGACGTCGCAGAGTCGGTTGCGTGTGGATTTACGAGAGGCGACCCGGCGACTGGCCCACACGCCATCGGAACCGTCGGTGGAGTCGTGTCTACGGATGCCGTTGGAGCAGGTTGTGCCTGCGGATAACTTGAAGAATCCTGGCTTCCGTGGCGGGCTCTGATGTGGTCCGAATGCGTAAATCGCACCGCCTGCGACACTTTCACCAGATAGGTTACGGGACTGATAACCTGTGTCACGATACCATCTTCCCACGACACTGTTTCACCTCGCACAGTCTTCACCCACACAGCGTCCCCCACACCAAACATCGCGGAACCCCCCTAGACATGTCCTTTTGCACTTTGGTACGTTGCTGCTGCTCCCGCATGGAGAGCTCGAAATCTGGTTTTAGCAATGACAGCTTTACCCGTGGCTGTCTTTTCAAGAATAATTCTGCCGGGGTCTGGCGAGTGGTACTGTGCGGAGTAGTCCTGTAACTCATTAGATAGCTGTCCAAGCGTTCCCGAAATGAATGTTTGTGGTGGCTAGCTTTGTCCTGCAAGACATGCTTTGACAGTGCTTGTTTGGTAGTCTGCACTAAACGCTCGGCCGCTCCGTTAGAAGCCGCGTGATAAGGAGGTGTCTTGACATGCCTTACACCGTTTACACTCAAGAAGGCCGCGAACTCTTCGGAAATGAACTGCGGTCCATTATCACTCACCAGTACCTCTGGCAGACCATACGCGGCAAACATACTACGTAGCTTCTCAATGGTTTTGTTAGCAGTAGTGGATGACATAGGCGAGACCTCGATCCATTTAGAGAACGCGTCGACGAGAACCAAGAACGCCTGAGAGCCCTTTACCGCATAATCGACGTGCACGCGTTGCCAGGGCCTTGTGGGATAATTCAATGGTTGCAAAGGAACCGGTGAAGCAGCTTTTTGGACGGCCTGACAAACCTGACATTGTCGAACGTAGCTCTCAACCGAAAGGTCGAGGCCAGGCCACCACACAAAGCTTCTTGCTAACGCTTTCATGCGACTAGATCCCGGGTGGTCCTCATGCAATAGCTGCAAGACCTGTAGCTGGAGCTTATCAGGTATGATCACCCTTGATCCCCACGTTATGCATTCTTGCTCTACTGATAGCTCGTCGCGCCGGGAATAAAATGGTCTAAATGCTTCAGAGCACTCTGAAGGCCATCCATTTAAGATGAAGTGCGTCACGCGAGACAAGGTGGGATCACGTCGTGTGGCTCGCGCTACGTCATCCGCTTTGAGGGGCATGCTGTCAAATAGCAAGAGACACTCGGAAGGTTCATCGGCCGCTACAATAGGCCGTGGAAGCCGAGACAGAGCGTCAGCCACTTCAACATTTCTTCCCTTTCGGTATTTTAGTTTATACTGGTACGCTGCCAGGGTAATTGCCCATCTTTGCATTCGAGCTGCAGCAAGCGCAGGCACCGGCTTGTCGTGGCCTAATATTCCGAGCAATGGCTGATGATCTGTATAAAGAGTGAACTCTCGTCCATACAAGTAGCGGTGGAATTTTCTTAACCCAAACATCAGTGCTAATGCTTCGCGTTCGCACTGAGCATAGTTTTTCTCTGCGGCTGTAAGTGTTCTAGAAGCAAATGCCACTGGCCTTTCGTGTCCCTCTGCGGTCTCATGAAAAATGACAGCCCCCAATCCATACGACGAAGCGTCACATGTCATAGCCATTGGTTTCGCCACATCGTAAAAAGTGAGCACATTACTCTTGACAAGTAACAGTTTCGTAGAAGCAAATGCTTCGCTACACTCCCGTGTCCACGACCACCTTTCGCCCTTGCGCAACAGACGGTACAATGGCTCTGCCACGCAGGCAAGGTTACTTAAGAACTTTGCATAAAAGGTTAACATGCCGAGATAAGCCTTTAGCTCTGTTTGGCAAGTGGGCTCTGGCGCTTCTGTGATCGCCTTTATCTTTTCTTCTGTAGGATATATACCTTCAGCGCACACAGTGTGACCGAGATAAGTCACAGTGCTCTGAAAAAACCGACACTTTTCCTCTTTCAGTGTCACGTTGTAGTCACTCAGCCGCTGCAGGACTAGTTCCAACGTTTTTTGACAGTCGGCTAAGTCTTTTCCCGACACAATGACGTCGTCTATGTAACATCCCACGTGCGGTATGCCTTTGAGCACCTCATCCATGAAGGACTGAAAAATGGCTGGCGCACTGGCTACCCCAAATGGTAAGCGCTGGAACTCGAACAGCCCCCTGTGCGTATTAATAGTTAGCAGTGGTCGGGACTCGGCAGTGAGCGGAATCTGCTGATACGCGGCCGAAAGATCCAACACACAAAACACTCTGCCGCCAGCTATGGCAGAGAACAAATCTTCCGGTCTAGGCAATGGGTAGTGGTCGGTCTTTAAAACAGGATTAATGGTGACTTTGTAGTCCCCGCACAGCCTCAGTGAACCATCTTTCTTTTGGATTACGACTACTGGCGTGGCCCAATCGCTCCGATTTACGGGGCGTATAACACCGCTTTTCTCTAGCCTTTCTAGCTCGCCTTCCACTTTATCTCGAAGCGCAAATGGGACGTTTCTGGCCTTGCCAAAAATAGCCGTACAATTCTGGCTTAAAACTATCCTTGCTTGATAGTTTTTTACTTTTCCAGGTTGCTTAGAAAACACCCCTGGGAACTTTAACCGCCTCTACCTTGTGAGAGTCGCTTACATTTATAGCAAACACGCTTTTCCAGTCAAGCCCGAGCCTTTCAAGCCAACTTCGCCCCATCAGCAATGGTAGCTGCTTGCCGTTATCCTTGACGATAATAGCGGGTAGCCGCAAAGACTGTTTTCCCACCGTAACGGAAACGTTGCATTGCCCTTTTACTGGAACAGGTTCCCCAGTGTATGTTTTTAGGGTGACTCGAGATGGCTCGCACTTGACATGAGGAAATGCGTTCAGCCTCACACTCTCAGGAATTAGTGTTACAGCTGCTCCCGTATCAATCTGCATGCAGAGGTCTTGCCCTTCTACGTTTAGCTGCACTTCATACCCAGAACGCACGGTATTGATAACATGGTACACATCTAATTCAGAGTCACTATCAGAGCAGTCCACCACGTTTGCAGTCTTGAGTTCTCTGCGATTACTTGGACACATCTTCTGTAGATGACCGATTTGAGAACAGCTGTGACACTGGACGTTCTTATACCAGCAAACACTAGCCGCATGCGCCTTGCCACATCTTTCGCAAACTCGCTTGGCTTCCTTGAGCTTCCGAAGCTTCGATTTCTTTTCGCTTCCTTTTCCTCTTATCGCCATTGCATAAAAAGCCGCTTCCTTGCCTTCTGCATGAAGTAACGCTGTCTGTCGCGCAGCCTGCTCTCGGTCCTGGGCTATCTTGCACGCCTTTTCGAAGGTTAAATCTTCTTCAGCAAATAGGGCGAGTTGCGTTTCCTCGCGTCTTATGCCTGCCACTATTCTGTCTCGCAGCGCGTCTTGCAGAAACTGACCGAAATCGCACTTCCTTGCTAACTGTTTTAAGGCCACTATGAAGTCCTCGACGCTTTCCTGCTCTTCTTGTGCTCGCTTGTTAAATTTGCAACGTTCGGCAATGACCGAGCACTGTGGGCTATAGTGTTTCTTCAACAGCACTGTGACCTCTTCAAAGGACTTGTCCCCAGGAACAGCGGGTACTACCAAACTTTTGAGCACCTCGTACGTTCGTGGTCCTATCACACTCAAGAATACTGCCAGCTTCTTTTCCTCTCTGATGTCATTTGCGGTGACGAAGTGCTCAAAACGCTCCAGATAGGATTCAAAATTCTGATCCTTCTCGTCGAACTCGTCTAGCTTGCCTAGTCGTGCCATTGTTCAGTAAAAGTGCAGTATACTTATCGGGTTGCTTTCCCCGACGACTGCGTTGCCTCTTGCCGAAGGTAGTGCCGCCGAGTTCAACCGTCCCAGGCCATGGCTGCCGTTGTTTTCTGGTCCATGGCTGTCGACCGCCGATCGCCCGCAATACTGCTTCGTACTGAGCTAGTACAAGGGGGCGGATCCCATCTTCGTCGCCAGTGTAATAACGTGAGCAGCAGACAGCATACCAAGAAGCAACTGATAAGTTTATTAGAAGACGCACCATATATAGGCGCAGAACCACGTGATCGGTCGCACAGGAATGCGCGCACTGGGTGCGCAGTGATAAGTGACGTCACGCTACAACAGTATCCATTCAAATTTAGGTCTCGATAAAGCGCAAACCTTGACCTCGTGGGGTGGCAATTTATATATTAATTGTCCCCCATCACGTAATTGTCAACATAATTGTAGGCAATATTGTTTCGACCACGGAACAAAAACGTTCAACTAGCACCAGTAACGCTAAATAATGCAGAAATGTCACGTTGTCAAGAGCTCATGCAGAGCTCATGCCATCAATCAAAACTGTTGGCGTCTATCTGAATGAGCACATGACATGGGATGACCACATAAATTACCTAATTATCCAACTATCTAGTATAATGCGCCATGCCTCTTTTGAATGCGCTATAAGCATCAACATGTTCCTATATAATGCTTTGCTCGTACCAATACTTAAATATGGATTGCCAGTTTGGGGTACTACTACAAGAGAAAGCATTGACAAGGTCGCAGTTTTACCACAAATGGTGATTCGATTAGCATGGAAGGTTTAATACCCCTCACATACCAGTGACCTCTTTATAAGACACAACATTGTCCCGGTAAAGTCAATCTTTAACTATATTCTATGTCGACAGTATAAAGCTAGCTCAGTAAAACTAAAACTAGTATTCTACAAACGCTATCAGGATTATAGGCCACCTTACTAAAGTATAATATGCACGAATCGCTGGTGTGTCCGCCTTGTCCGCTGGCACCATTAAGAGTGTTATCCCTGAACTCGGCATCACCGAAATGGACAATCTTTTCACTATAGAAGAACTTGACACATCCTTGACAGCTTCCCGACGATCATCTTCACCATGACCCGATGGTATCACCTACGCCAATCTAGCCAACCTTCAACAGGAGGCCAGGGGACAGTTGTTATGTTATTACAACTACTCATGGCAGGCGGGCATTGTTCCCCAGGATTGGAAGATAAGTCGACTTGTGCCACTACTCAAACCAGGAAAGTCACCATTTGATTTAACATCATTTCGCTCTATTGCCCTCGCTAGTTGCGTAGGAAAAGTCATGGAAAGGATGATACTTACACGCCTAGAATGGTACCTCGAGTACTACAACGTATACCCAAACGGCATGACGGGTTTTCGGCGAGGTAGGTCATCTCTTGACAACGTGATTGATCTAACAACATTTATCCAGCAACAGAAGAGCCTCAAGTGCATACCACTGGCATTCTTCCTCGACGTCAAAGGGGCTTATGATAACGTAACACATAAAGCCATCCTAGACTCGTTGGAAGCTGTCGGAATCGGTGGTCGGATGTTTCAACGGATCCAGGATTATTTGAAGAGAAGGTCCTTTTTTGTAGAAACCGCAGATGGACCTACCACCAATTACTATACCTCCCGTGGCGTCCCTCAGGGCGCCGTATTAAGTCCCACTTTATTTAACCTCGTGATTGTAGGTCTTCGTGAAAGTCTGCCCAGTACTAACCTCATATCCATATATGCTGACGATACTTGTCTACGGACTTCAGCTGTAACTCGTCTACAAAGTACGTGCAAGAGTCCAGCAGGCTGCCACCCTGACATGCTCATATCTCCGCAAGCAAAGTCTTTCCCTCTCAACGGAGAAATGTGCATTGGTTGCGTTTACTCGCAAAGCCATGACACAATACCCCATTACCATCAATGGACAAAATATTCCATACCAGAAGAGAACCATCGCTTCCAGGGTTTGATTATTGACAGGGACCTTTCGTGGAGTGCCCACTGCAATTACCTGAAGAGAAGGCTAATTTCCATCGTCCCTATAATGCGGTTCCTCTGCGGAAAATCTTGGGGCACATCAATAAGGTGAATGATGCAGCTCTACAGGGCACTGTTTCTGGGATTTTTGCACTACAGCTTGCCGTTACTGGCAAGTACGTGCAAAACGAACATCCGCACCCTCGAAAGTTTGCAAGGACAATCACTACGCGTGTGCTTAGGATTGCCGCGATGCACCTCAACCTACGGGGCAATTATGATCGCAAGAGAGCATCCAATTCAAACATACATCCACTGACCATTTGAGAGCCCACATAAGACACCTCTGCCGAGTTCCTGGTAACCATGTTGCAGTGTTGCCACTTCAAAGACCACAAGCGATGTTTTCAAAGATTATTTCTGCTCATAGAGAATGCCTTCCTTTTGGCTTCACTCCAACGACAAGACCAGCGTCACCTCCGTAGTGCCTACAACAACCACAGGTGTGCCTTACTATTTCGGGAATAACGGACAAGAGCCGTCATTCAACAGTGGTCCTACGACAGGTGACATTGTCGCTACTCAATGAAAAATACGGCCAGAGGACCCACATTTACACCGATGGATTGGTCTCGGCTGACAGCTCCACAGGTGCTGTTGTCATCCCGACGTACCAGGTCACTATAAGTTCAAACTGTCGCATAGGACAACATCCACAGCAGCGGAGCTTGCCGCCTTACGTGCTGCTATACTTTATGTATTTATTTATTTATACAATACTGTAGACCAATTTAATGGTCCAAGCAGGACGGGCAGAAAAAAAAAATGTTCACGCACATACAATGCAATGCAATGTAACAAAACAATGAAGCAACAAAACGCAGAATTCACTTGGAACTACAAAATAAACAAGCCACGGTGAAACCGGCTTTTCGCACAAACATAGCAGGGTTTCCAATCCAAATAAAACTAGAAAATCACGCACAACTTTAAGAAACCTGAACGTCAGTAATTAAAAGTTTCTAAAATGATCGTGTAGGGCTGTCATAAAATTTCCACTAAAATTCTTTCTGGTAATTTATTCCAGTCATCTACCGTGCGTGGAAATTATGAAAACTTAAAGGTATTTGTTCGGGCAAGAATGGGGATAAACTGTGGCTATGTGTGTGTCGTGTTTTCATTTCCTCGTGGTGGACAGACTAATGAATAGAGTGGGTGATAATCCAGTCTTACACTTAATTAGGGATTCCATAAAAGCTAAGCGGGCAATTGGCGTCTAATGTGTAGTGGTTGGATTTTATTGAGTGCCATGATACCTGACGGAGAATTACTTCTTTTATATTATTATAAATAAAACGAACAGCCCTCCTCTGAACCTTCTCCAATTCTTTAATGTTTTTGTTCGTGTGCGGGTCCCAAACAACCGCTGCATACTGCAGTTTAGGCCTAATTATAGAATTATACGCTAAAAGCTTAACGTTACTAGGTGTACCTCGAAGTTTGTGCCGTAAAAGGCCAAGTTTTTTTAGCGCTGAAGAAGTTACCTGCTGAACGTGGTCGTTCCAATCTAATCTGGAGTTCATTACGATACTTAGGTATTTAAACTTACTAACTTTATATCGCGGAAGCCCGACTTCAAAAATGAGCTGTGTTCTGCGACTCCAAGGCATCCCTTCAGAGCTTGCAATCAGCTTTACGACAAAGGGTGCATCAACAACTAGTGAATGAAATAAGAGAAGTGCTTCACAAATTTTTATCAAAAGGACATGACGTGGTGTTCCAGGGGTTACCGGGACATTGTGGTATTGTCGGTAACGGCCTTGCTGATAATGCTGCCCGATCCGCCCACGCGGACGCCCAGACAACCCCGATTTCATTGTCGAGAACCGACGCTGCAAGGGGCCTTCACTCGTTCGCTAACACTATGTCGGAAACTTGGCTGAGTGACCCCAGTGTCGGGAACTGCTGCCTACACAAATGGGACCCATCAAGAAAGCTTCAAGTTCTATCGGACCTCTCCCATCAGGATGCAACTTCATTGTGCCACCTGTGGTTAGGAGTAGCTTTTACGAAGGCATACTTCTTTCGCATAGGAATGGCGGATAGCTCCCGATGTGAATCGTGTGACACGGACGAGACAATAGAACATCTACTGTGTTCATGTGAACGTTTTGCGAGCGAACGCAACTTGCTACGCGAAACGTTAGAGACACTAGACAGTATACCTTTTTCCGAAGAGAAGATCCTTGGTTTATGGCTCTACGCGTCGTAGGCCAGCAAAGCGACGCGGGCATTGCTAAGTTTTCCAAAGACAACCGGACTACACGACCGCTTATAAGCGTGCAATGGACAAGGTCACATATACACACACGTTGCCCTTCTCTCTCTCTCTCTTCTCCTTTAATCCCCTCACCCCTTCCCCAACTGCAGGTTAGCAAAGCGGACGTGCGTCTGGTTGACCTCCCTGCCTTTTATTTCTTCCCTTCCTCCTCCTCCTCCTCCGCATAAACCTGAAGAATGGCAAATTAAGAAATTTCACACTAAATACGGTCAACAGATGCTTCGGTTCACGCTCTAAGTCTTGTTGAATAGAATCTGTAAAGAGCAGCTTTTTAACATTTGAAAATTGTCATTTATTGAACTACGGAGAATTTTCCCCCACATTATTCTTATCATGAATATGCCTCTTAAATGACATTTTTTTCTTTTTCGTATTTCATTCCTTCTGAAGAGAAAAATTTATTTACTTATAATGTTTTTATGTCTATAAAAGCACGTTATTTTTGCGTGAAGGATATTCATGTACAATATATTATGTGTACATTTGATTTCTGTTCTTTTTTCTTTTTTTTCTGTTCATTCGATGCCACTTTTACGCTGTAGCCTGTGTAGGGCGCGCCCAGGACACCCTCAAGTTGACTGTATCAGTTTTTCCCCTGGTCTCTCACAACATCATGTTGCGAATAAATAAAT